ATAAGACTTTTCTTTATGTATCTTTTAGATAATCAGTTTGTCAGTGATTATCCAGTCCTAGGAGTGTTTCCCAGTTTGTATGATGCTCCTCCTTAGTCTATATAAGGAGTGATTGAATGACAGGAAATGTGCGTGTTGTTACTCCAAAGATAGCAAAAATCCTCTTTACTTCACTTTTACTTTTCTCTCAAGTCAAGATCTTTCTCTACATTCTTCTTGTTCATTAAAGGTCTTTACATTGATTATACTCCTGGTTTACTTTATTTTATATTAGAGTACGTTGTTGAATATTTCATTCAAGTCTTGACTGGTATTATTAGACTCGACTGGAACCATTAATTAAGAGAAGACATTGATCTTAAGCATTAACTCAAGGTTTGATTTTTTAAGCCTTGTCCCTACGCACTGAATCCTGTACTCATAATTGGTAACAGAGCTTGAGTGGTTTTCCTTTGAATCCATAAGAACAGATTATAGTTGATTTGAAATTACCTTCGTATTTCAATCATTTATGTGTTCAGGATAAAAGTTCTTCTATATACCACTTCTGCTCAAGATATCTTAACTTCAATGGCCATTTCTAATTATCAACAAATTTATTCAATGCAAATAGCAAATAGCGTGGGTTGCCCTTCTCGTGACCCACTGCTACTTGTTGAAGAGTATAATCACTGGAAGTCAGAATGGAAAGATTCTTGCTTGGTAAAGAAAAAGGTGAAGCTATATGGAGATCTGTGAAGGAAGGTCCACATGTTTGAGTTAGAAAAACTGTGAGAGATGCTGCTGCAACTCTCATGGGTCAAGAAGAACAACGTCCAACACCTCTTACCGCTGATGACATCGAGAAGCTGCATGCAAATCAAGTTGCCTTTTCTGAAATGGTGTTCGGTGTTCCACCTTCTCTCTTTGAGCACATTAAGTTGTGCAAATTAGCTAAAGAGATCTGGGACACACTCCAAGATCTGTTCGAGGGTTCAGAAAACATGAAGGATAAACGTCTAATTTCCTTTATCAACGAATTCAATATCTTCACCACAACTCCCGGTAAATCAGTTGCCTCGGCATTTAACAGATACCGAATCGTCGTCAATAGCGTGACAGCTCATGGGATTGTCCGAACTCCGCTGAAATACAATCTCATGTTCATCAATAGTCTTGGTAAAGGACGGGGAAATGTAAAGTCGTGTCTTCAGAGCAATGGATCTATGAAGAAGCTGAAGTTTTACCAACTGTTGCACAGACTTTGAGGGAACTCTCAGGAGGTCATGAAGACACGCTTCAAGGTCATGAATCAAATGTTGCACAGACTTTGAGGGAACTCTCAGGAGGTCCTCTACCTCTTTTTAGTTCTTTCGATCCTCATGTATCGAACCCCTCTGCTTCGGACCCTTTCGAGGTTGTTGTTCCACCTATCCCGCCAGTTTAACCATCTCCACCATCCTTACCTACTCTTGCTAGCCCCAACTTTCAGTTTAATGAAGACCTCGACCCTGAAGCGATGGACTCCGAAGTTCGCTTTCAACAAGACTTTTCTTTACTTTCCATGAAATACAAGCGTCCTTTCAATCCCACTCACAAACCATATCACAATCGTTTCCAAGCCCCTCACCAAAATAATCCTTAACCGTTTAACAAACCTTCAGGAACCCACCTACTTATAAACCAAACATCTTTACCCCAAGCCATCCCTCGGAATCCCGCGAGATTCCTAAGTCAGACAAACCAAAGATTATTTATCACAAGTGTGGTCATGCAAATCATTATGCCAAAGACTTCTTGGCTGAAGTACCATAGGAAGAAAATATTAAGGACTCTACATACTATGCCCTCCGAGCCCAAGAGATGGCTCCAAGTGAAAAAGCGTTCGTCACCACCATGTCAAGAGATGTGGAAGGATATTGGTCATCTGGAGATGAGGATGATGTGAGAACTGGTAGAAACATGTATCTTATGGCAAGACAAACAATCGAATGTGATGAAGGCTACTGGTCATATGGATCAAAGGAAGATTATGATGATGCTGAACCAAACTATTGCTACATGGCGAATAACGACCCACTCGACAGAAGCATCGTTGAACACATAAAATCTATGATTACTGATAATAATTTTGATTTGTCTCTCTGTGAACCATATCTAACTCAGATTGAATCAGATATGAACATCATCTATAAGGCCTATGAATCTGCTTTAAAAGCAAGTGAGAAGATGGAAAGTGAGTTGACCCGCCTTAGACTACGTTTCGAGGATAAGAAGCTTAATATAGAATCTTTAGAGCATGAACTTGTAATGTCAAAAGATGAATGTATCATTCTTAAAGACAAATATGAAATCACTTATTCTGAAAGAAATGTTTTAATTTCTGATAACAAACGTCTTAATGCCAAAATAGATGATTTGCATAATTCCATAGATATTCTTGAAGCAAATGAACGGATGACTCATAACTTTCGTCATCCTTGGTCTAAAGCACCTGGTCTCAGAAGTGAGTTACAAAATTTAACTTTTATGGGAGACATTCCGAACCGCCAACATTCAGATACCCCTGTCTCACCATTGTCACCCCTTCGTGAGACTTCGGACAAATTTGCATCTCTGATTCCTGAGTTTCAACCCATTGTTGTTAAAAGTCCTGATTCCACGCCTCTTCCGCTTCTGATTCCATTAGACTTGAATCGGACTTCAGAATCTTTCCCCAGCATCACACCTACTGAAGTTCGAATTCCGAACTTTGGTCCTTTTAATAATTGTGTTGTTGAAGAATTAATTCTCGAGACAACTGAATCTGACTCCAATAAATCAGATTTTGTTTGGGCATCTATAGATAGTGACGTTGATGATTCATCTGATTCTTGTGTTTTTAATTCTCAAGTGATTTCAAAAACAACCCTTGTGCCAATCAAGCCTAAGTTTAACAACCCATCTGCTGGCTAAACTTCCAAGTCATCCTCTTACTCTAGAAAGAAACCTTCACTGAATAAGAAAGATGTTGTCGATCCTAAGATAGAAGCTAAAAACGCCCTCAAAAACTAAATTAGGTCAACACAAAATTCTAGAATCATTGAGAATTCCAAAAAGAAATTATCTCGGACTGTTAGCCCATCCACTAGGAGTCACAACACCTTTGTGTCTGTTAAGATTCTTAAAGGCCATCCAATCCTCCTAGTCCGATAGAACACAACAAGGTTATCAGTCCCACTCCAAAAAAGCCTACTGTTGATACTCAATCTGTCATAACTAACTCCCCTCGGACTGTTTCATATGTTTTTATAGCTGAATATGATGGTACGATTTTCAAATCACAACAACTTTCAAAACCAAATGTACCATCAAAAATAACAAACAAAGAGCGAGTTATTACGAAAACTGTTACTCAAAAATCTTGAAATGATTCAAAACAAAATTTTGAGTCGAAAGTTAAAAATATCAAAAATGAAACTGCAACTCCAGGAGACACTGTGATTCCCACTGTTCCAAAAGTTGGTCCGAGAAAAGTTGTTCCGAAACAACTTGTTGTTGAATATGATTTCTGGATCAATGAAAAGACCATGGCTTTCTGTTTGTTTCCAAAAGGATCTCGGAACAAACCCTCCGAGACTTCTGTTGCTCAAAAGTCACAACTAAAGTCCAAAGCTCGTGCCCATGTCGCAAAACCTGACTCGGAGCCTAAAAACTCCAAAATTCACTAATTTTTGCAGGCACTATGTGCTTTGAAACAAGAAACAATATGGTATCTTGATGGTGCTTGTTCCATGCACATGACGGGACAGAAGGATTTTCTGTGTGATCCCAAACTTTCACCAAATGCTGGATACGTGACGTATGGCAACAAATTCAACTCTCAGATCCGAGGTTATTGCATCCTCTCTAATGGAAACTTTTCCATTTCAAACGTGGCATACGTAGCCAACCTGAAGCACAATTTGATAAGTGTAGCTCAACTTAGTGATGCAAATCGTCGAGTTGAATTTTGCAAGAAACACAACTATGTCATGTCAGAAGACCGGAAAGACTGTCTGATCAAGTCTAATCGCAACAAGAACATGTATCCACTTGACATCAACATGATCATTGGCAAGCCTCAACTCTGTCTACTTTAAAGGTCGTTCCTGACATCAGTTGGTTATGGCATCGAAGGCTTGCTCATCTAAACTTTCGTTATATGAACGATCTTGTTTTTGGTGAAATGGTGAGAGGTTTGCCACTCCTCAAGTTCGAAAATCATCATTTGTGTGCTGCGTGCGAATGTGGGAAGCAGTCCAAGAAGGGTCATCCGGTCATTATTGAAAAATATATTTCGGAACTGATGACACGCCCCTCAGAGCGGGCCGGGAATAAGAGAACCCCCAGCGAGGAATCCCTAAAGAGGCCCGTCCAGGCCCAACTTGGCCATCCCAGCTGCTAGGCACTCCAGCGGAACCCCCAGCTGCCAGGCGCCCTAGCAGGACGACTGCGTGGAAGGCCCATTCCCTCCAAGGGTCGCTTTCCACTACAATCGAAGGATAATGGATCCAGGCGACAAGGAGCACATCCAGAGCATTATCTCCTGGACCAATCGTTGGACTTGACAAAATGAGGAGCACGACTCCCCAATAAGGTTAGCGGATCTTGTCGGGATTGCAATCCTTGTTCCTCGTAAGGATCGAGGAGGATCCTCAGTATATAAAAGGATCACCATTCTGCCTTGAAGGGTAAGCTATCTCCCCCGATTCTCAGCCTTCACTCTCGAATACACTACTGACTTGACCGTCGAAGCGTTTTTCCGGGACCTCCTCCCGGAGAACGACTGACGGCTTTTACTCTTTGTAATCTCTCAGGTTTCTCTCCGACGAACGTAGCTCTCACCCTCGTGGTGGTCGGAGCCCAGTTCGCATCATTTGGCGCCATCCGTTTGTGTGACAATAGATACGCAAACCCATTTTTCCTCTTTTACCCAGCCACAAATGACGGACGAGGCCACCAGTTAGCCACCGGAAACACCACCTATCCCGATACGCCTAATGGTCTCATTAGAGACGGCCAACATACCAATAACACCACCAGCTCAGACGACCGACATGGTTTCCGAGGCACCACCATCCCGTGGCCCGCCACCTCCTCTTGCAGCAGCTACACCTTCCGTCACAACCCAGAGCCAAATACCAATACCCATGCTGAATAGCGTAACCCCGCCGTTGTTCCCCAACGACGGCGGATCCAATCCGTCCATCGCACCTCCTATACCGCTGTTTTTTCCTAATACCGACGGATTAAATAACGCTAGTTACAGCCCCTTACCACCACCCATCCACACCACAAACGAGCCACGACAAACGACACTCATAACACCACCGTTAAATGGGATGCCCTCGCTCATGCACACAACGCCTGCGAATAACACCGCTAATGGCCCAAGCGTCGTTTTCCACGCACAAAACCATCCACCGCTAGTGACAGGAGCCATGCCGGCACCGCCATTCACGCCCTAACAGCAAATCCCCATGACCCACATGTTTCCCACCCCATTCCAACCACATAACTTCTATGGCCCAACACCAACAGACCTTGTGGCCTACAATAACATGCTGGTACAGCCATTCCTGGCAATGCAACAACAAGGGTACCACTTTGCTCAACAAACACCAAACCAAGACTGTCTTTTGCACAGTGTCACATCACTGTTCGTGAAAGAGTTGTTGGAATATGAGATTCCCAACACCACCAAACTACCTCACCTCAAAACATACGACGACACCACAGACCCGAACAGCCACATCCACACATACGAATGGACGATGACGTCCCTCAAGCTAGATGAACGATTATGGTGCACGTATTTCCCTACCACTCTAGAAGGCAACACAGGAACATGGTTCAAAACATTGCGCCTTGGTAGCATCTGCAACTTTAGCTAACTGAAATACCTCTTTTTAACCAACTTCATGCAGCTCCGAAAGTACAAAGGCGATTGTCACTCCATTATTGGGTGCAAGTAAAGGGAGGGGGAGACAGTCAAGGACTACTTCGCTAGGTTCACCAAGGCAACACTAGACGTACCGGAGCATGATGAAGGATTGATTGTAGGAGCATTTACCTGGGGATTACTTCTGGGTTCGCTATCCCAGAAACTCATGGGCAAGCAGCCTCAGACGAGGGCAGAACTAAAAAAGCGAGTGGAGCTTTTCCTACGCCAAGAAGAAGGTGAAACGTCAAAGCAAGCATACCTCAACGCCATGTCCTTCTCTGCTGGAAAACGACACCACCAAAAATCCCGGGGGGGGGGGGGGGTAGGTTCTCAGGACGAGACAGGCGACCACATGGATGGTTCAGACCTTTCACAAAGGACGAAAGGCAAGGAAGACGAGCAGAAGTTTACACTGTCGCCTAAAAACCAACAACAAAGGGTACTAAAATGCGATATTGTGAATACCACAAGAGTAGGACGCATAACACGGTCAACTGATCGGTTTTAAAACGGGAAATGGAAGAAAAACAGTTGAAGGGAAACGTGATAAAAATTGCCAAAAGTCTGCAAGCTAAATTTGACGCAGAAAACCCTAAAGACAACACAGGAGGGGCAGAATACCGACAATAAATCCTCATGATCCGCTATAAGCGGGGGAGAGCGGAGTGCACAACCAGCGTGCGAAGTATCACAGAAACCATGCAAGGGCTAACTTTCTCTACGACCGACCCAAGCCCAGCCGGGTGGAAAGGAGACAACCCCTTCATCATCTAGGGCTCCATTCGAGATACCATGATCCACCGGGTATACGTCGACATGGGGAGTTCTGCAGACATCATCTATGAGCATTGCTTTCGGCTGCTACCGGACGCATGGAATAAGGAATTAAGACCAGCCGTAGGCCAGCTCATAGGATTTTCAGGGCACAGCCTGTGGCACCTAGGTACGATTCACTTACCATTCACACTCACTAGTCAAGACAAGACCAAGCGACAGACCACCCTTGTGGATTTCGTGGTCATACGACACCCATCTGAACACAATGTCATACTGGGGAGAACCGCCCTACTAAAATTTAGAGCAATCTCATCAACGATTCATGGAATAGTAAAGTTTAGCACAAGCCAAGGCCCAGGGACAATCCTAGCCGCCCCTCCAAGGGAGCTCAAATGCTATGAGATTATGCAACCAAAGGACATTTCAATCGAGGCCAAGAATCCGAAGTCGGATTCATCGAGCGGGGGGGGGGGGGGGGGGAGGTAATCAACAGGGAGTACCCGAGCCAACAAGTAAACATGGGAACCACCCTTCCCACGGCAGTGAGGCAAGTGCTGATCCGACTGCTACAAAAGTACAAACACGTGTTCACCTGGACACCCACATACATGGCGGGGGTCGACCGGGGGATTATAGAACACAAGCTAATGATAAAGCCAGGGGACAAAGAGGTAAAACAAAAGAAGCGAGTCCAGGGAGGAGATTGAAACAAGGCAATTAATGCAGAAGTGGCCAAGTTGACCAGCACCGGGATCCTCAGGGAAGCAATTTTCCCAACATGGATCGCCAACCCGGTAATGGTAAAGAAACATGATGGTAGTTGGCGCATGTGTATTGACTACTCGGACCTCAACAATGGGTGCCCCAAAGACTGCTACCCATTGCCGAAAATAGACCAAACAGTAGAGTCTCTACAAGGGTTCCAGTGGAAATGTTTCTTGGATGCATACAAGGGATATCACCAAATCCTAATGAGCAAGTATGATGAAGAAAAGATAGCCTTCTACACAGATCAGGGCGCTTTCTGCTATATAAAGATGCCATTCAGATTAAAGAACACTGGAGCAACCTACGAGCGGCTGGTCGACTCTCTGTTTGCCAATCAAATCGGCAGAAACATCGAAGTCTATGTCGATGACATGGTCATCAAAATCCCGGACGAGTAGAGACTATTACACGATGTGGAGGAAACATTGCGAACCCTGGAAAAGGATAAGATGAAACTAAACCCTGTAAAATGTACCTTCGGGGTAGAAGAGGGGCAATTCCTTTGATACTATGTGAAGAAGGAAGGAATCCAGCCGAGTCCAGTCAAAATCGATGAGCTTAAAGACACACCTTCGCCAAGCACACTAAGGGATGACCAAGGGTTGAACGGTAAACTAACATTGCTCAATCATTTTATCTCTAAATCAGCCGAGAAAGCCATGCCTCTATTTCACACACTCAAGGGGTGCATTGAGAAGAACAACTTTCGATGGACGCCGGAGTCTGAATCCGCGTTGCAGAAGATAAAGCAGGCACTGCACACACTCCCTACGCTAGCCAACCCGGTACCAGGCGAGACACTGAAAGTCTACTTGTCCGCATCAAAGGACACTATTTCATCAGTATTAGTAGTCGAAAGGCAAGGAAGACAACTTCCGGTCTACTTCGGGAGTCGGGACCTACAAGGGACATAAATTAACTACCCAATTATCAAGAAGTTGGTGCTCGCCTTAATCTACGCGGCACGGCGGCTTCGCCGATACTTCCAGGCCCACCAAATAGAGGTGTTGACCAGCTACCCAATCAAGCAGGTACTCTTAAAGCCATCGACGTCCGAACGCCTCACAAAATGGGCTATAGAACTGGGAGAGCACGACATCAGTTACCACCCCAGGGTGAGCATCAAGGGGCAGGCACTGGCAGACTTCCTGTTGGAAATCTCGGGGGAGCTCCAGCTGGAAATGACAGAGACCGCCCAACGAAGGCACTCAGAAGAGAAGACCAACCAATAGTGGACCATCTACACGGATGAAGCTTCTAGCAAGGAAGGATCAGGAGCGGGCTTGATCCTAACCAGCCCCACGGGCAAAGAAATCACTTACGCCCCGCGCTTCGATTTCTACAGCTCCAACAATGAAGCCAAATACGAAGCCCTGTTAGCCGGCCTAAGGTTGGCAGTAAAAATAGGGGCGGAAAGGATAATAGCCCTAACTTACTCACGCATAGCAGCCAACCAGGTCACTGGAGAATTTCAAGCGAAGGATAAACGAATGGAGAAGTACGTCAAAGCAGTCCAACGAATCACGAGTCCACTTAAGAGTTTCGCCATAAAACACATTCCGAGGGGAAGCAATAGACGGGCAGACGCCTTAAGCAAACTTGCATCAACATGTTTTGGCCATCTTTCTAAGGAGGTCCTGGTAGAAGTGCTAAAAGAAAGGAGCATCGACGAGCGCCGAGTTGACTCTCTATCCACGACACGACCCAGCTGGATAACACCCATTATAGACTATCTACAGCACGACATACTTCCTGACGACCACGTGGAGGCACGAAAAACAAGGATACGGGCTCCTCAGTACGCAATCTTGGGAGGAGCATTATAAAGGAAAGGCCACACAGCTCCGTGGCTCAAATGTATAGACAACGAGTCAGGGAAAAAGGCCCTCCAAGAAGCCCATGCGGGATCAGCTGGAGCCCACAAGGGGACAAGGGAACTCACAAGCAACATACTACGCATGGGGCTCTACTGGCCGGACATACACCAGGATGCCACCAAATTAACCCGAGCATGCGTGGAGTGCCAGACCTTTTCACCAGTACAAGGCGTACCCCTAACCAAGTTGATAAGCATAGTTAGCCCATGGCCTTTTACCAATGGGGGATCGACATTGTCCGTCCTTTCCCAGAAGCACCAGGGAAAGTGAAGTTCTTGGTCGTGGCAGTCGACTACTTCACGAAATGGATAGAAGTCGAACCATTGGCATGTATTATTGGAAAACAGATGATTAAATTCATATGGAAAAACATCATAAAAAGGTTTGGAACACCCAAGGTCCTGATCAGTGATAATGGGCTGCAATTCGCCGAGAACCCCTTCAGGAACTGGTGTGTAAAGAGAGGAGTAGAGAAAATATTCACGTCGGTAGCACACCCCCAAGCCAATGGACAGACAGAGGTGTCTAATAGGACGCTGGTGCACGGACTCAAAAACGACTTGGCAAAGCAAAGGGAAACTAGGTAGACGAACTGCCGGAAGTTCCCTGGTCGTATTGAACCACGCCGCGAACCAGCACGAAGGAAACACCGTTCATTCTGGCCTACGGAGCCGAAGCAATGCTGTCAGTAGAGATGATGATAGGATCGATACGAACAGAGTACTGTCAGGAGCAAACAAACGACAGGAACGTGAGGGAGAATTTAGACCTTTTGGAGGAACGCCGAGAACGCTCAGGCATATGCCAGACCGCATACAAAAAAAATAGCCGAGGGGTATTACAATCAGCGAGTCAAAGACAAGGCCTTTCGTGTTGGGGACTACGTACTACGTAAAAATGAGGCCAGCCTTGCACAGCCCCGCAGAAAACTAAGCCAAACATCGGAAGGGCCGTACAAAGTAGTAGAGGCGCGCCGCAATGGGTCGTACTCTTTGGAGACACCCGAGGGAAAACAGATCCCGAGAACGTGGAACGCAAGGAACTTAAGAAAGTTTCACTTTTGAGTGAACCCACAAGCCCCTACACAGGAGGAATGATAATT